TAACCAAACCCTTAGATGTAGCAAATGCCTTTAACGATTATTTTGTCAGATGCTCCACTACCCTGATTGCCAAGCTAATAAATGACACACATCCTGAAACTACAAATGTGGATCAGGACCCACTAAATTTGCAAAGACCTAATACAGACAAGTTCAGTTTTAGACCTGTGCCTATTAGTGTCATTAGGAAACACCTTAATAATATACAATCTTTTTGAATCCCTTTCTGTATTAAAATGTGAGCTTTATTACACTAACACATATCAGAATTATAAAATACCCAGTGAAAATGGAATCTACATGTGTGAAATAACACAAAAAAATATATAACCACTAAATAGGGCTTGCATTTGTGAAAAAGTGGCTAGACCAAACAACTCAAAATAGGCTGTTTGGAATACTCTCTGCAATAATGGTGAAATGTTATTACGCAGGCTGCTATACTGTCTAAAAGGCGACATATACCCAAAATACGACTTTGTCAAATTTCCAAATTTGTTTAGAAAAACAGTTATGTGACTTGGTGACTACTACAAAAGCCTGGACATACCCTATTCTGAATATCCTAGGCCAGCCTTTCCCAATGTGTTCTGCGGAACACCAATTGGGGTTCAGCCAAAAGTTCAAAAAATAAAATGGCCGTGGTCAGTAGGGGGAGCAGTGAGCAGTGATCTCCCTGCTCAGCTTCCTCGCATGCACAGCAGTGATTCTGGAGCCGGAATATGATGTCACTCCGGTTTCGGCATCACTAAGAGGCGCGCAAGAAAGGTGAGCAGGGAGATCATTGCTCCCTCACCACCCGCACCCCAGCTGCTCAGCAGCCCCACTGGACCCCAGGGACTCCATGCGAGCACTCTTAAAGGTAGGGGGGCTGGATGGAGTAAAATGTAAAAAATAAAAATAAAAATAAATTGTATGTGTGTCTGTTGGGGAGTTTGTATGTGTTTGTATGTCTGTCAAATAGTGTATGTGTGTTTGTCAGTGAGAGTGAATGTGTGCTTGTCAGTGAGTGTGTGAGAGTATATGTGTTTGTCAGTGAGAATGTATATGTGTTTGTATGTGTGTCCGTAAAAGAGTATGTGTGCTTGTCAGTGAGAGTGTATGTGTGTCTGTCAAAGAGTATGTGTGTCTGCATGTGTCAGTGTGTGTATCTGCATATACAAACACAGATACACACACTCTGAAACATAGATACACACACCTTGACACACAGATGCATACATACACACTGTCAGTGTGTGTATCTGTGTGCCACTATCTGCCAGTGTGTGTGTGTATCTGTGTGTCAGATTTATACACACTGGCACATACAAACACAGATACACACACCTTGATATACAGACACATACACAGATAGACACACTTTGACACACAGATAAACACACCTTAACACACATATACATACATACACACACACACAGACACACGCTGTGTGTCAAGGTGTGTGTATCTGTGTCAGTGTGTGTATCTATGTGCCACTATCTGCCAGTGTGTGTGTATCTGTGTGTCAGATTCATACACACTGGCACATACAAACACAGATACACACACCTTGATACACAGACACATACACAGATAGACACACTTTGACACACAGATAAACACACCTTAACACACAGATACATACATACACACACACACACACACACACACAAACACACGCTGTGTGTCAAGATGTGTGTATCTGTGTGTCAGTGTGTTTATCTGTGTGCCCCTATGTGCCAGTTTGTGTGTGTATCTGTGTGTCAGATATACACACACTCACACACTGGCACATACAAGCACAGATATACACTTCTTGACACACACTGGCACATACAAAGAAAAAAAAACGACACCATTTTTAAAAAAGG